CTTTTCTGTTTTATCCCTTGAATTAAGAAATCAAGTTCAGGAGAACCATTCAGTAAGGAATTACTGAAGTGGTGGGAGTGGGAAGATATTTGTTTTCCAGCTAGATTGGAGATCTATCCAGATCTTCAGTTTTCTTGGAGCAGCCTCGGAAGGGGTTGCTTGAATGTAGCTCTGGAAACCAGGATCTTCCTCAGCTGGGTCTGAGAAAAGCGTATGTGAAGTGATATGTTAGCGCACCAGACTGGTGGAGATAGCTTTTGTGTGCCTGTATGGTACTCCTGGAAGAGGGTATGGGAAGTAGAGACCCTCGGGTGGCTTTGGATGCAGGTAACGAAGAAATTTAACATGGTTTTATGGCCTGAAGCTGTTGGGATCAGGGAGCCCAGTGCTGCGGTGCCAGGATGGTGGCAGCAGGCTCAATGGAGTGGGCATTGTGCCTGTGCAACATGGAGCCTTGCCCACTGCCTGCAGGGGAACCTCTAACACAAAGGTGGGGAGACACTCCTCCCTGACTAGATAGCATCTTCAAAGTTATCAGTGCTTAGAAACTTTGTATGTTTTTACAAACAAAGAGTTTCTTTCTGTGTGTGCAGCGTATACATGTCTATGCTTTTAAGTAATCTTAACATTTAAATTCGCTTTAGTGAGTGGTAACTTTTAATATCTCTTCTTGCTGTCCTGCTTCTATACAATACCTAAAGTGCCTGAGCACTTTGCATATGTAGGGTCAAGTTTTTGGACTCTTCAGGAGCTGGAGGCAGCCACGCTGTCTCTTTCCCTGCTGCCTCGTGTTCCTGACTATTGCGTGGACTTACTGATACGTGATGCGCTTTGCTCTTTGGTACACAAGTGTTTTTGTGGCTCTGCTACTGTAATATCTGGTGTGGCATATGTGTGCATTTTAAGTCTTCTCTCATTGAAATTTCTTGGTAGCTGCTCTGTATTTACAGCTTGCTCTGTTTAATTTAAAGTTATCCCAGCATCGCTAGGGGAACTTAGCCTTAAAATAGATTGTTTGACCTTTTTTTTTTTAATTATTCTAATCCTCTGAGGCTTGATGTTTCTTGTCAGAAGAATGTATTTCAATGGGGGTATTATCTCTTTTGGAAAGAAATCATTCAGCACTTGGGTGCAGTACCATTCATCTGTGCCTTTAAGAAGATTTTCTATTTAGTTTACTTCTCTCATTCATGACCCTCAAATATCAAATCAAGGCAGCATTTCCAACATCCTTCCTTCTTCTAATTGTCTGGAATAGCTAAAAAAGAAGCAATGGGTATAGACTTGCTGTTGATGGACACAGGCCCCACAGCATGTCTCATGCAGTGAAAAATGACCTTCTCCTAAATACTAGCATTAGGAGCATGCAGAAATTCTGAGGTTTTGTTTCCCTCCTTTGGGTTCAAACGTAAATCTCTTTGGTCTGTTCAAAAGAAATGCATCTGTTTGGTGACCAGTAGCTGCATTCTTATACAGCATTTTATTCAAGAGCCACATTGTGCAGATGTGTTATTGGAAAATGGGGGCTGGATGCAGTAGGTCTGCAGGCTTGGACAGCCCTGACAGTAATGGCTGAATTGAAGTGCGTTGGGTTTGTATGAGAAGGAGCCTGCACAGCTCCTCATGCACAGGGACAGTCTTATGGTTTCTGTTCATATGTGGGTAAAGCTGAAGTCAGTGCCAGGAACTTCCTCTTCCAAGTAGGTCTTTTCCCAAGGTTTTGTTAGGAATTTGCCCCTACCTATGAAATGGGATGGGTGTTCAGTCTTGTTTTCCAGCAGCTTAATTCCCCCTGTTCCCCCTCCCTTTGTCCTCCCAAAATTTGTTTTCCCCTGCCTGAAAGAATGTCATCATTCCACTGCAGTGTGCTCCTCTGCACCATCAGGAAAGTGTTCCTGCAGCTTTTTTTTTTTAACCATGTACCCTCAATCTTACTCTGTTGTTCTCCCTATCAACTATGTAATGCATCAATGGGTTTCACATTAAACATCGTTTATCCTCCCAGTACCACCATTGTGCAGGGAGGTATTAGCCCTGTTTTGTGCTTGGAAATACCGAGAAAGATGCAAATTTTCAAGTGCTTTCCAGAACACTTGGCAATAAGCCATGATGAGTTAGGAAAAGAGTCCAAGTCATATTCTTTGCTATAACAGTGATAAGAAGAGTGTAGGTAGAAAAAAGACTGTGGGCATTTGGCAGGAAAATAATGTGGGCTAAAGCGTGTGGTATTACGAGGAGTTGTGGTCTAGTTTGCTGGTTATAGGAATAATATTTTGATGTGTTTCCTGTACTGCTTTTCTCTCTGATTTTGCTTGTTTATGGAATAGAGCTCTGAAATACGTTATATTGGGCATGCCTTTGGACTTTCTACCTTTCTGTGATTTTTTCCTGTGATAAGATGTGGTTTGAAGACTAGAGGTAACTGCTGTTGATAAAAAAGGCTCTTAGACAGATGACAATAAACAACACATGGGTTTGGGGTTTTTTTGTGTGTGTGTGCGTGTTTGAAGACTAAGCAGAAAAAGTAAAGGAGGTCACTTAGATATAAAATTGTTTCCTTGTATCAGTCATAACTATAGGAACAGGGACAGTAACATCTGCAACAGTTTGTTTTCTGAAGTGTATAAGGGTAAAGTGGCAAAAATGAAAACTTAAATCTCTAAGATAAACAACTGTACCTAAGAGTGAAAATAAAAACAATCTCGTGACAAGAATTTAGGTGAATTCTAAAGCTGACTGCATTTCAGGGTCTGAGTAATTGAGTCCATTGTGAAAATTTAGATTATGGGATGGTGTCAGGAAACCATTCCTGCCCTCTTCTTGCTGTGTCTTTTTGGCTAACTGTTCACTGTTTGTGCAAAGGTTTCCTACCTCCTGGAGAATTTGGAAACATTCACTTAATGCCTGGTTAAGGCATTTGAAGTCTTTCCAATGGTAACAGCTGTAGGTGCACAAGGTATACTGCTGCAAGCCCTCTTGACCATACGATAATGTCAAACTAATATGAAGTCTTCAAGAGTAGAACATCCTATGCCACCCAGGGAGGAATAAAATCTTGTGTGTGTTTAAGAAGATTACTGTTAGCTCATCAGAAGGAATAATGAGAAGTTATGGGACAGAGCTGAAGACCTGTCATTAACTGTGAAAGCTGGTTCAGAGGAAGGAATAAAAAATGTGTGGGAATGACCAGAAAGCTATTCTACATTTTAAAGTGTGTATGCTGGGGATACTGCTTTGTTTACAAATAGTATGATTCAGGTTTTGTTTAGAAGACAGTTAGAAACCATGCTGTGGATGTGCTGGAAGGAGTAGCCATATAACGGGGAGAGTGAAGGGAAAAGGAAAATACTAGGTAGAGGTGGAATGTGATTAAGGTTAATTAAAGTGTACTGTGAAAACTAGTTAGATGCTCTAGTGTGCCCTTTCTGTAATAAGAGGCAAATGGGTTATGCAACGAATTGAAAATTTATCTTTTCAATAATTCATTTCAAACTTGCTGCCTTGAGACAAATATCGTAGATTAGAATAAAGGATGAAAGACTTGTGTGTAATTAAAGTTGGCATATTTGGAGAGGAATTATTTTAAAAAGTAAAGGTCTTACAGGCTTTCTTCTTCAGGTTATTTGTGTTTAGTATTGTGAGATGAATCCCTTCTCTACTTTGTACAGGGTGACTGGGATAGTCCTGAAACATAGATTCCTGTATTTTTTTTCTTTTAATTGACAGTTGTTTTCTTCGTCATTTTAGATAAGACTACAAACTTCCCTTTAGAGATACTTTAGAGATACGTTTTCTTCTAGTACCAGAGCAGGAAGATGGAGGAAAGGGTGAAGGTTTGAGTCCAGCACTGGGAATGATAAAAAAAAAAAAAAAGAAAGAAAAAACCCAAACTCCAAATAACAACAACAAAAAAACCCTAAACAAGCAAAAAAACCCAAGAAAGGACATCCAGTCACTATCTTCTTTCAGTCTGTCTTTTCTTCCATCTGGCTGTCTTAGTGTTCCAATATGTTGCAAGTTGAATTGTTGTTCTACCTGAATTAGCAGGTTTCAGACACCACTGGTTACAGAATGAGAGACAAAATGAATTAGTGGTCTGGCAATGAGTGGATATTAAATTTAGGAGCTGACAGTCACAGTCACACTGCCCATTGCAACCTGACTTTCTCCACTTTTGGAAATTGCGTTTGTCTTTGTTTGCACTTGAGCTTTGTTTTCTTAATCTTCGGCACGTTTGAATAGTGTGTAATGCTGCTGAGGACTAATGCTAGTGCATGGACCTATGGTAGCACTATTCCACATAACTCTTTGGCCTTCAGGTTGCAAAGAATTTTTCTGCTAGTTTGTTGGGGTTTTTTGAGGGGGGCAGAGGAGAAGATAGCAAAAGCAGAGCCTCAAGAAAATGTAGCATCCTATGATGCTGTTTTTAGAAATTCTGTGTGGTGCAGGTTTACATAAAAGACACTTAAGCAGCATTCCCCCCCCATACCCAGTTTTTTACCTCCTATGAAAAGGAATGTTAATACCGTGAAAGAAGGATGTGAAGCACCATTCTTCCAGGCTTAGTTCTGTGAACTGCCTGAATGTGATACATGGTTGGAATTAACTTTTTACACTGGAGCTATAAACATTGTTCTGCTTCTCTCTGCGGATAATATGCTGGTCACCTCCAAACAAACAGGACGTCTGTTCATGACTAGAAATTCACATTGATTTAAGCAATATTTGAATTGAAAGCATGAAGAGTATGATGTCAAACCTTCTCCATGGAAAATTATATTGTAAGTTATTAGATGCTTCAATGCACAAGTTGTAGGGATATCAACTGTATTACTAACTGAAAGCCCTGGTGATTCTGCAGGTTTTGTGAAGCACTGAAACACCACAACAAATTGGGAAGGTACTTCTCTGACTTTTGACAGTGGATTTCAGCTATTATGGAGGCTCCCTGGAGGTACTGGAAGGCTGTGATTAGGTCACCATGAAGCCTTCTCTTTTCCAGGCTGAACAATCCTAATTCTCTGAGCCTTTCCTTCTAAGAGAGGTGCTCCATCCCTCTAGTCATCTTGGTGGTCTCCTCTGGCCTCACTCCAAGATCAATGTCCTTCCTGTGCTGGGGACCCCAGAGTTGAATGCAGCACTCCAGGTGCACATTGCTGGGTCATGTCCAGCCTCTCTTTCACTAGCACCCTCAAGCCTTTCTTGGCAGGGCTGCTCTCAGTCTGGACTGATGCAGGGGTTGCCCTGGCCAGGTGCAGCACCTTGCACTTGGTCTTGTTAAACTTAATGAGGTTCCCATGGGCCCACTTCTCCAGCTTGTCCAGGTCCCTTTTAACTATTGCTTGGGCTGACCCTTCTAGGAAGAAGCGTGCCAGCTTCCCCTGTGCTCAGTGGTTCTGTAGCTTCATAGAAGTGAAATTCTTGTTCAGGCTTCTCTTTAGGCTTCTAACAACACACATTGTTTCAGATTTTCAGTAGAAATAAGAGTTCACTGTTCAGAGTCTGTTTGTATGAGGGGAGCTGTGAGGGGGTGGGAAATATGTGTTTGTTCCTTTTAGTTGCTTATATGCCTGAAATTTAAGGATGTGGTTGCATATCTTTATAAGTCCATGATGTGATCACTAACCCCAAAAAGGACTGCAAGTTTTACTTGAGTAAAAAGGAAGAGGTAGTGGTGGGTTTTTTTGGTTTTTTAGATTTTTTTCTTTTTCCAGTTGCTTCTGTTTTAAAATGAAGTGTTGTTCATTTTTAAGTCAAGAGGCATAGCTTCGTGCAAACTGGAGATCTTTAAAACCATCTTTCTCTTAACTGTCTACTCATTTGGAATAACTGTGAATTCAAATGAAGGGCAAATAGTACTTGGTTTTGAATTATTGGTGTTTATGGAAAGGCAAACTGTTTCCTTCCCTCCTGCCCTTGCCACAATAAGGGCATTGCTTTTGTGCAATGTAAACTGCATTTAGTAATGGTCTTGTGCTTAAGAGCTTCTAGTTAATGAGACCTATTAACAATAATGAAAAATGGCATCCTTAAAGTGCAGACCTAGTCAGAAAAATAATTCTCCAAGAATGACTGGATGGCTGCGCACTCTTTCTTGGCTTATTTAATTTAGGGGGTGGGGGAGGAGTAGTCTTGGCTCTGAAACTAATTATTCTCCTACAAATGTGCCTGTGATCTGCACTTCCCGCTGGGGATTTGTAGAGCTGGGGCTTCTATTGCTAAAGAGCTTCCCAGACTGAGCTTAGCTGAGACTGGGGCGTAGGCTTGGCTTTGCTTTCCCAAGCCTCAGCAGGAGTGGCAGTAGTAAAACCCATTTTTTGGTCTGCTCAAATGAACACATCTGAGTCAACACAGAGCAGTTGTATGGAGTAGGAAAGTGATTTTTTTACATAATTATTCATCTGGCTATGTTTGTGTTTTAATGTGTTGCCACCTCCGCATCATGTGCTGTTTTAGTTAGGAAGGATATGCATTGCTTTTCAATACGTGAATAATCCTGCTTAAGGAAAGGGGAGGATTGGCAGCAGCTACATTGGCTGAAAATACAAAAAACCCCTATATTCCTGCTTAGACTGACACAAGGAAACTGCATGGATGATGTCTATGCATATGAATAAATAGTAAGGCATTACAGGGAAAGAGAAGTAGAAACTACCTGTATCTCTGCCTTAGTGTCCTCCCACTCAGTACTGCTCTCACGTGTACATTTTAATAATTTCCTTTCGAGCTAGGACAGCCTGTCATGCCAGTCTGCGGACTTGGAATATCTTCCCTTAGTATGGGTCCATCTTCGTTGAAATGGATTTCTCTGGTTGTTCTCTTACTGCTCTGTACAGCTTTCTATGGTTATAGGTGTTCTGTATATTGGGGGAACTTCCATGCTGTGGAACAAAGCGGGCACATTTTACTACAGAGGAGAAATTTTCACATAAAGGGGATGTTTCTTCTCCCATTTTGGGGGCAGCATTGGTTGGTGAAGACAGACTTAATTTCTTGGTTCTGTACCCTGGCTGCCAACTCAAGCTAATGGTACCATACCCTTTAGGATTTTAATTGAACTTCATCTTCTAATAAGGCATCATCCTATTAACTGCCATCTGTGGTAGAATCACATGCTTGAAGCTTAGCAGTCCTGGATGGATAGTGAGTGTCCAGCTCAGTGGCTGGGATTCTTCTCTTCTTCCGTTGGTGCCAAGCAGAAAGGTGTCAGTGTCTGCTCACAAAGGAGCTATTTCTGTTCTTAATGAAAGCATTTCAAATCACTTTGCCCTTGCCTCTAGCAGGTTTTGTGAGGTTCTTGTAATTTTTCAGCATATGTTACATATTTGCACATGTGTCCTTTGTGGAAGAAAAGAGTTGGATTGTTTGCCACTGAGCACTCAAACCCTACTGTAGGGACTGTCAAGCCATCTGTGGGAGACACCTGCTTGAAAAGAAAACAGACTTCTGAAGCTGTTTATGTGGGAAATTGGAAACCGGTGGATGCCTAGGGTGTGCAGGAGCATTGGCTAGCAGCTTGCGTTAAAAGGGAGCCCAGAAAGATGCTGGATGGTGAACTGCTGCAGCTCCCAGCAGAGCCGTGAGCGTGTTGAACAGGAGGCAGGCCAGTGCATGGAGGAGGAGGTGGCTGGCAGTGCGACAGGGAGCAGACCACTAATGGGACTGCACTGCTGTGTAGGTTAGAGGAGAAATTAGTTCTTGGTGCAAAGTGTTTTGTGGCCTGACATCCAAAGCCACTCAGCAGCACCAACTCTGTGTGTGTGTGATTTGGCCTGATTTTCTTTTCCAGGCCTTGCTTTCTTGTGCTTTACAGTGCCACAAGTCCAAGATTTGTGAGTTTGACTCCGCTTTGCAAGGATATGCCTCTGTTCTGTTTTCTTAGACTGATGTGTTTGAAAAGATTTGGATTTCTTTACTGAAGAATTGAAATGGAGAAGGTGCCCCTTGAACTTCATATGTTCTAATAAGGCGTTAACAAAAGGAGGGGAAAAAGTAATTGTGAACCTGAAGAACACAATGTGAGCTTTTGGTAAAATCTGGACCTTATAATTTCCACTTGCTCTCCTTAGCTTGTCTGTTTTTGAGATGGAAGCACTAAGTGCCCATGCTTCTGCTGTGCCTAATTTATCTTGACATACCCAGTGTTGCTGAAAATCTTATTTTTGGTCATTCCTTGGAATCATTTAATACATTTAATCATGTGTTCTGTAATCTACGTTGTGGCATCACTACCAATTTGCATAGACAGTGTTAATTCTGCTATTTTTTTTAATTTCCAGGCATTTTGGAATTGAATTTAGGTATTACATTTTTAAAAATGTGCTATACATACTGGGTCTAGATAAACGTTCCTTCCTCTGTCTTTTCATTGACTCAGTCATTCAGTGTTTTATTACTCACACTACTGGGCTAACTGTTGGCTGGTAGAGAAGGAAAGCTTTTATATCTATGAATTCTTTGGTAAGAGATAATGACTTTTGGAGTAGCTGCCACTTCACCTCCTTCTATGTCCTTTCCTATGGCTTGTGAGAAGTGTGCAAAAGAGTATGGGGAAGAAAGTTTGTCACAACCTGCCATCTCTTTCAAGATGTCTGGAATGTCTTTTGACTAGAGTGAATCAGAATAAGTGGCTGGTTGCCACTTCGAGATGCATTTAACACTTGTATATTACAGCTTAGTTTGTACATAGCTGGTATTGAAGAGGAGAGGCCATTTATAGGACAAAGAAGTGCCCTTTATTAGAAGTGCCTGTAACAAATTGGTATCTCTGGGGCAATATTGCCCTTTTCCTTAAAAACAGGGTAAAAGATGGCAAGCCTGTCTGTTGTCTGATCTTGCCTTACTCATAGCTTGTGTGATGATAAGCAGTTCATTGCGTTCAGGTGTTTTTTGAGTTTTGATATTAAATTCAGACAGAAAGCTCAATAACACTTTTTGGTTTTTTTCTTTCTTTTTTTTTCTTTCTTTTTATTTTCCCTTTTGTTCGTCTCATTCTTTTAGAAGTAGCTGATGTCTGGTCAAAGCAAACGAGATTGCTGGACAGGCAGCATCTGTGGAAAAGCAGAGGGTCATACTGGGCTTCAACTTTCTAAAATGCAGACAATTTCGTGTCTTGGATTGTGTTTCTGCAAAATGGTGTATTCTCTTATAGCTGGGGCTATTAGGCTAAATTAATTGCTGTTTAAAGCACCTGAAAATTCAGTGTTAGAAGGTGTCATAGAAAATACTGGGTGTTCTTTCTGCAGCCGATATGAACAATCTGGGTCTGTATTGTATTTGAAGGGCATTTCAAATTGTTTTTCTTGATGCTTAGTCATGACCTGTCTATATGTATTTTCTGAGTGATAAATAGAGACTTTAATAATGTATGTGCTGAGCAGAAGGATCTTTCCTATATCATTAAATATTTGCTAATAAGCTTTCATGATTTGGGCCACTCCAGTCTACTGAGGTAGATGATTAGAGATGGTCTAGTGATGCCCTCAGAGGTTTACTAATCAGAATCTTATGAACTAAACCAGGAGGAAATATTTTATCTTTGTAATAATATTTCATAAGCTGAAGGATCTCAAAGTATATCTCAAGCTGACAGTGCTAATGGGGCCACTGAATTGCAGTCATAGGCTGGGGAATCACAGAACATGGCTGTGTCTCAGACTGGAGCTGAATCCAAATGATCCTATTGAGTAACTCAAACATCATGAAGAGAGTTAACCTGCTGGGAATATGATGCTTCAGCATAAAATCAGAAGAAATAATAAAGCTGAGTTTTTTGTTTGTTTTGGGGGTTTTTTTGGAGTTGGGAGGTGGTGGTGGTTATTGCTCTTTTAAAAGTGTGAGGAGGAGAGGGAAGCAGCCAAATCTAACTTGCACTGATGAACACAGGAAGATGCAAAATAAAGATCTGTGGTGTATTTTTGCCAAAATATGACTCATTGTTTCTCTTGTCCAAATTATATTCCTGGGAGCATCTGATCACCACAGAGCTGCAAACTGATTTTGCCCAGTGGTTAAGACTCAAGGATGCATCTTGTTATCATGAGGGCAACCAGAAGTTCCCAAAGACAATTTCTTGTCAGAATAGCTGCCTTGGACAGGGCAAAATATGTTTCAGCTCAGCAGGAGGCAGAGGAGACTGGAAAAACACCTTAGAGATGCAGACATTTGGTTTTCTGAGATGTGTTGCCCTCTTCGTCCTCTGACTTCAAAGAGTGAAATGTTCAAGGTCCTCCTATGTGGGGACCTGCTTATTTGATAAACAAGGTAAACTCTTCAAAATCCCCTCTTTTCCTGGTAATCTGGGTGTTTTCCCTCTCTGGACTGACTGCTTATCTTGTCTTCCCTGTGCTGCGGATCAGAAAGACCAAGATGGGTTTATCTTAGCCCACAGCAGTGCAGGCTGCCATCAGCATGAGTCTGCTGCAGCTCTTCCTGCCAGCCCTGGCTCTTGGTGGTGTTGCCTGGCTCTTCCTTCTGAAACCCCTTCCTCCCAGACCTGCCAGGGCAATTTGGTAACTGCTTTCTCCAGACCTGTCTTCACTTTCTTTTTTCCTGTGGTGCCAACTTTGTGACTTTTCTCTTACAGGGAAAGGTTATGTATAGTCTGTAGTAAGAAAAAACTTCTCCCATAAACAGTCACTGAAGTGCTTTTCTAGATGAGTTGCTGAACCCTTGAAACTTCTATTTCTCTTAGTCATGGAGTCAAGTGTCCTATTATTCTAATATTTTAATAATTCTCATGTGTAGTCCATTCTGTTCCTGTAGGGCAAACTGGGAGCTTTAACCACTTCCAGTTTTAACTTCAGACACTGTAAATGCTTCAGTGCTCTGTCGTGGTGGTTTCCCAACCACCTGGAGCTAGAGAAAGAATTACTCTGTGTGCTCATAGACACAGGTGGAGATGCTGCTCCTTGCAAGTTCTCCAACACAGTGAATGAATGGGGGGAACCTTAGTGCAGATTTAGGAGTCCGTACACTCTAGTTTTGACTGTTCTTGTTAAAGAACAGTAGGCAACCTGAGGGGTATCAGGCACTGTCTGTTCTCATGGGAGGGGTCCTTCATTCTGACTGTAAGCAGCCAACTGCATAATTGCTTCTTGGGAAATCAATGTGTTTCGCTAACTGCTGAACAGCCCATCTTTAATGCACTGCTGTCTCAATAGCAATGTCATATTTGCCTTGCTATAATCCAGATTGCATGTGATATCCTGGTATTATGTGACCGGGTTTTTCTTCTTTCTTTTAGGTGCAGAATCTAGGGCTGCACTGCTGATTCCTTGCAATTTTCAAATAAATTGCTTTATTCTCACTCTAGTTTTTGGTCTCCAAAACTATTTTTCTTCACTGTGTGGTGAGAGGATGGTAAAGATTGATCTTCATTATGTGCTTAGAAAAATGATGTCCTCTTACACGAGTGCCAGGAGTTAAGAAGGGAGAATATTAGGGGAGCTCTGATGAACAGTTTTCTCTTATGATGGATTGGAAACTAGTGGTAATTCAGTCAGAAGACTAGAACATCATATGGTATGACATAAATGCATGTGAGCAGTATCTTAGAGGATCACAGCAAAGGGTAGTTGAATAGTATCCCATAGCTTTCTGAGCAGTCTCAGCCAGCACAAGCTGTGTGCTGTTGCTGAAAGAGGCAGCTTTTCTTCTGACTGTTCCCTTTTTGCACTAGCACAAATTCTTTATATAGATGCGTGGTGAACCAGGTTAATGATGGATCAGTTCAGCTATCCAGTTCAGTGCAGGACTGCACAAATGCTTGTGCCAGCACCAGAAGCAAAGAAGATGTAGGGCCATTAGGAAGGGGAAGGATGGGGCAGGGGAAGGATGGGACTGCAGTGATTGCCAGCATTGCAACAGAGGGATCTCCTGTGCCTGCTGTTGGACAGATCTGCACCATAGACAGTGCCAGGAGAGTGATCTCTTTTTCCTACAGATACTCCAAAAAATCTGGCTTTATCTTAGCTGTAGCCTTTCAGGGGAGAAAGTCAGGGGAATCCGTGCTGTAGTGGAATGTTTAACTCATACAACTGTAACTCTGTAACCCTCAGTTCCAGTAGCATACCTGAGGAATCACAGATGCTATTGCACCTCTGTGCAGCTGAATTACTATGATACCATCTGAAGGGTATATGGGATTTTTGGAGGAAGCGTGAAATTCTTTAGGCTTTTAAACAGTGGTTTCTTGCTGTGGCGCTAGCTCTGTAAATGTCTGCTGAAGGAACATCCTGGAATTGCTATGCCTGTTTACTGGCAGACGTAATCTGGACAGAAGGGAAGACCAGCAGTGGTTAGCATCACCTCTAGCAGGGAATTTTAATGTTCTGGAAGTGTGGTCTTGATGGTGTTATCTATCCTCTCAAGCTTCGGTTTCAGGTGTTGAACCCAAAATTTGGGTCTGAGATTCGTATGATTATCTATTTAGAACCACTGCATGGTTGAACAGAATGACATCCAATCTTAAGATCACTTGAATGGAGAGATCTCTATGCAGTGGGATAGTGGGATCTCTATGCAGTGGGGATTTCCCCCTCTGTGGGAAGTCATTTTGTACAATTCAAGAGCGAGGCTCCGGGAGTGGGAGCGGCTTTCTCTGTGATCCCTCACAGTGTCATTGCCCACACGGTGAGTCACTGGTAATGCCTGAGTTCTTATTTTTAGTCCTGTTGCTGCCATCGGGCTGAAACCATTGGCTGGTAAGAGACTTAAGCGAGGAGATAAACACGTTAATCTCCCTAGACCTTCCCCCTCAGCTGCTGCTCTCTGCCTTTGTGCATCTCAAGATGTAGCTTTTCCCAGACCATTGGGCAGAACCACGTCCCCTCCGTAGCCTCGTGGGACGTCATCCAAACCTTTTCACTATTAAGCACTGGAGCGGGGAGGAATGCCTTCCGTGCACGTGGGTTTGCGTGCGCAGGCAGGGCG